CCCCCTGTTCCCCTGTTAGTAAAAAGTTAAATATTACTACGCCATTGGTCCTATTGTAATATAGTTTGTATGTCTAGAATGTAAAATGTGTAATGAATGTTCACTTTTCCAAGGTTTTAGTAATTATAAAAGTCTGTAAACAATGTGCAAGTCAAGTACATATGATATTATGAGACGAAAGAAAGAGTTATTTGTACGGTAGTTTTGCCAGTAGTGGATGCCTGCGTCTCCACTCCCCCTGACACCCTCTAAGCATGCACGCATGCTTCCAAATTCTTGTTTCCCCCTCTCCCACTAGTCGGCTTGCCCCCCCCCCCCCCAAAAAAAAAGAAGGGAAACCCAGGTGTTAACGGCTTGGTGCAAGGAGGCCGGCATTTTGATTTTCAATAAGTTATCATGTTCATCATCATAATCTCCATCCCTACCACATTCACATGATATATATATATTCATTTTAATTCCTCGTCTATTTGGATTGGAAACAAAGTAAATACATGGGCCTACACAACAGGGGAGGGGGATGGTGTTGTTCTGCACAACGGGAGAGGGGGAGGGTGTTGTTTTGTAACAGAGGAACATAGTTATTCTTCTACCCCCAACTCCACCCATCCAACCCATTCAAGAAGGATTGCTTAAAAAATTTTTTCTTCTTGACTAAAGGGCCAAGAGGTTCAAAATCTTGGGTCTGAAGGGAGTACATTCACCAATGCTGTTCTGTGTATATGACAGGGCGGAGAAATTTCATGTTTTTAAAAATAGGGGGTGCGGCAACTTTCCATAATTTGATATTTTTCTAACTTTAGTTTTGAGATTTTTCTCGAAGCTGTTGGGTTGCGATGGTTCTAATAGCCAAGTGTGTGTTCGGCAGCCAAAAATGATTGGTTTAGCCCCTATAAACTTTTTACTTAAAAAACGACAACAAATTCGAAACAATTTTCTCAAAGAAAGAAAAAAATCTTCATTTGACAAAGGAATAAAGTTTATTGCGGCAAGTCATGATATTGCCAAAATATGGTCAGTTTTTATGTTTAAATATTTGCAATTAAATGAATTATGACTGACTAAAAAAATAGCTTGAAAATCATTAGTTGAGCACTTCAACTATTTTTTATCGTGTAGATCCATCTCATTTTATTGTGAGAAGCATTTAGAAAAATATCCTGAAGAAGAATAAATATGTAATGTATTTAAAAACCATTTTGACAAGAATGAAAATTTCATATAAATATACCGGTGCAGCAGTTAGGCTGACCGTTTGGTGCTTCGCTGTCGCACACGTGAAAAACAAGATCAGTTTCGTAGAGGGGAGAATTTGTATAAAGTATCTCAGTCTTTCTGCCGGAATGTTGAAACCCTCTCAGCCTGGGTTGCCCCAGATAGGCAGAGTAGAAGCCTGCCTCCTAATTGATCTAAATTAAGTCTATAGGGGCGTAAAAACAAACATCCGTGCATTTTAATTTCTAAAATTTCTAATATAATTATATACCTTAAAGTTATGATGTATTGCATGTTATGTTCTTAAAGATTGGATATGATGACGTGGGTAGTTGGCGTATTCTCCGATGTGGTTTGCTCCTTCTTTCTTATCAAACATCTATCATCTTTATCCCCCGTCCTTTTTTTGTGTTTGTTTCTCCATTGTGACACCTATTCTTTGACACTTATTTATGACCTTTGCTGCTAGTACCGTAAAACTCTAACGAAAAAAAAAAGCAGACGATGACACTTTGACAAGTTTTTGTCTTGAGATTACAGTACTTTTATAGTCGACATGATATTGATATCTTGTGAGTTCTGTATCATTTGCTTTGTGTGTTTGTGTAAATTTGGGGGGGGGGGTTAAATAAAATACTAAGACAGTCACTGATTGTCAAGGCAAAAAATGGCAGTTTTTCAGTATCATTATAACTGTATAAAAAATACGCAAGGGAAGAAATGGGAAGTGGCCATTTATACAGGTGATTGTCTTATAAAGTGATACAGGTTGTTAAAGCATTTTTGTTCTCCTGTAATTATTGTTTTGTGATGAAACAAATTTGATGAATTAGCTCACTGTCCTCTAATAAATATAATACCAGTGGCGAGGACGTTGAGAGGGAACAATTTCAAGATAATATAATGACAAAATCATATTCATCGTGACCAGAGGATAGCAGGTAATAAAAAATGATTACTTACCCATTGTCATTTATTGTTGCCTGATCATTTTTACAATCAATTATAGTACTGTAATGCAATGAAGATATTTCAATGTTACGATTATGAATATATATAACGCACTTATAATTTGGACAATGCCCATGTCCATGAGAAAATAAGTGAATGGATAAAAATTCAAGTACATTTAGAGCTTACTAGTCTTTAGTCTAAATATTCACTGCTTTTGAGGTCCAGCTAGCAGAGTATAAATGCTTTAAAAACTAACAAAATGGTTGAACCAGCCCCACAGTTAAAAAAACAACACCCCCCCAAAAAATCAACTTCATGCTGCAAATTGTAAGAAAATAGGAGTGGTCCTCACGCATTCTGACAGTATGGCTCCAGCTGTATCATATATCAGTATCAGGTACAGGAAAGGCAGTTGAAAGGGTGCATGGGCCAATGTTAAGATCACCATAGGATAAGAAATTGATAATGGTGTGTATATGATAACAAATAAATATTAGCAAATAAATTTGGAGTTAAATTATTTACTTAATCAGTCAAGCAGATGGTGCAGGCCTAAATGACATACCAAGAGGTTTAAAGCTAACATTTGTGAAAGAAAACATTGTTTTGACAACTGCCACAACTAGTGCTATGGAAAACATGCGGAATTGAACAAAAAATTTTTCACCCGATTTTCTTGATACAGAGCAGTAAAGAAATGTTACATGATCAAAAATATCCAGCAGTCTGAAAGGATTAAGAAAAAAAAAAAAAGAAAGAATTATTGCTCAAAAGTCTCATTCATATTGTGGCGGCTGATGTCTGCTCTTATCAATTTTAGATCACCAAATAATGTGCGCAACTTGCACGCGGTACCTCCGATATTTTTCGCCCTTGTCCGACAAGGCTAGGTGTAGATCTTTCCTTCCAGAAGATCAGGCTGAAAGACTGCAGTAAGAAGGAGTCAAGGGGTAGCAGTAGAAAGGCTGCTGAAAGAGTCAGGAGCCCAGTGTAGGGGGCAAAGGAGGTGAGAGGGTGGGGGAAGAAAGTGGAGACGAAAGCAGACAAAATATTGCAATAGAGAAGGAAAGAAGTTGAAAGGAGACAATTTTAGTGAAGAAAATTTTTCCGTCGCTACACAGATTCGAACCCATGACCTTTGAATGAGAGGCAAACACCTTGACCTCTATTCTAGGCTACGAGAGCCTCCATACACGATGTTAAAAAAATTAAATGAAGAATTTTTAAAAGATCGATACATTTTGTCCCTATATATATCTGAATTTGAATGCAAGAAAAATCACTAACAAGTTTGTTCTCATTTCAGTGGCTATATTTTTATCCGTTCATTTGTTTTCTATACCAACATCTATGATGTACTGATTAGAGGCTTTGCTGCCATATGGGAAGACATGAGCTTGATTCCCAAATGAAGAGAATTGCCGGCTTTCTGGTGGGATGTGTGCATCCTTCTCAGCCTGGGTTGACCTTAACAGACGGGGTCTAAGTGAAGCTGCCCGTGTCCTTAATATTATCTAAATTGTGTTAATGGGGTCGACATTGAATTTTTTTTTTTTTACCTACAATTTTGTTAAGTATTTGAGAGTACAATAATGATTAAAAATTACCAGACTAGAATATTCGGGCCACAAATACTTAATTTGTAGGTAATTTTTAATCATTATTGTACTCTCATAGTTTTACTGGCGAAATGATTGATACTATGAATTTTATTGAATAAATGTAAAGTTCAGGTCTGTATCATCATTTCCATTCTTGCTTATTCAAATGGAAACACCTCCTTAGTCTCTATACAGATCTAAAAGCATCCTAGAGACGGACAAAAAAATCATCCATAGTATTCATGTATAGCTATTAAAAAGGAATACTTATGATGTGTAAAGTCAGGAGAGGGGGGCTCTCGTGGCCTAGAGGTTAAGGTGTTGGCCTCTCATTCAAAGGTCCCGGGTTCGAATCCGGGTAGTGACCAAAACATTTTCTTCTTTAAATGTGTCTCCATTCACCTCCTTTCCTGCTCTATAGCAATGTTCTGTCGTCTGCTTTCGTCTCCTCTTTCTGCCCCCACTCCCTCATATATCTCCTTTGCCCCCCTCCTCTGGGCTCCTGATTCTTTCTACAGCCTTTCTACTGCTACTCCTCGGCTTCTTCTTACTGCTGTCTTTCAGCCACACCCCTGATCTTCTGGTAGGAAAGATCTACACCTAGCCTTCTCGGACAAGGGTTAAAAAATCTCGGAGGGCCCGTGTGCAAGTTGCTCACGTTAAAGATCCCTTGGTGGTCTAAAATCGATCAGAGTAGGCTTCGGCCGCCATCCGGGCAAAATTCAAAATTTCCTACCAACTGAAAAAGTTTTAATGTGTCCCGCGCGCTCATATGACCTTATGCAGTTGCGAGCGCCGTAAAACACTTACAAAAACAAACAAAACAAAGTCAGGAATAAATCAGTGCAGGAGGTGGGGGGGGGGGGGGGGTGGATATGTGCTTGTGAGTGTTATTCTTATTCTCTTGACTACAGCAAATTTGCATCCCCTTCTCTGACCTGGGATCTCTTTGACTCGATCAGCAGACAAGCTTTGATTGTGTGAGGATGCATCCTCTACCCTGCTATTTGAACAAATTCCTGCATGGTTATGTCACACAAAAACTATAATGAAACAATTGTGCTTTTTCTTTGCGTTTTTTATCTTGATATTAAGGCTTGTATTTACTTTAAAAATTTGTTGTTTAAGTCGAAAAAAGTAAAAGCTGAAGAAGAAATTGATATATATCTCTTTACCTTTATTATAGAAATGATTTTGACTCTCTTTTTGTTTTTTAGGATGAGAAAAAAAATCAGCCCAGGTCTAATTGCCACCAGTGGTGATGGGAAGCCAAGCATCCACCCCCGGGTTCCTGCACACTGGAGTGGTCAACCATCAGTGTCCTCTGGCAGCGAGAAGGATGATCTGAAACCCTCGAATAGCTCGTTGCAGTCAGGTCAAGCCGCCAGTTTGTCAGCTCCGTCCAGCATGGAAGAACCTGCTGGAACCATCTCTCGCGACCCTTCCCCTCTGGCCGATGGTGCTGCTGGTGGTTATATCTCTACCGACCCCCAGACCCCATCGTCTAGTAGTAACCATATGAGTGCTACTGAAAGTACTATAAATAGTAATGGTGAGCCCCTTTCTACCCAAGAGAATGCGAGTGAAAGTATTTCTGAACCCATGCCTTCTAGTAGCAGCTATTTCCAACCTGTGTCTGATAGTTTAGGGTTAGAGAAAGAGCAGGTGGATGTAGTGTCAGCTGGTGGGGAGGAAATGGCTGAATCAGCTGGCAGTGAGTCCTCGGTTGTACCTGGTTATGTAGCTAGCAGCACTAGAGAGGTTAAAGATGATAACCCTGAGAATGAAATGTCCACAGCTCAGTACGCGGAGAATGAGAGGGTTGAATGTTGCACGGAGGTCTCATCACATCAGACTGTTAGAGAAAGCAGTGCTGAGGAGAGGGAAGAAACCGTCGATGTCATGGATGACGACACTGGCACTATGCTAACCACAGAAAGAGCCTCACAGGATAGGGAGCTGGATTACGAGCTGGCCTGTCAGCCGACGGTCACAGAGATAAGCGAGTTCTGTGCCGGCGGCAGGGACAAAGCAAGCGATGTAGATCTCGTCTCCATGACGATAGCCAGTGTGGCTGCGGGGGAGGGGGAGCCCCCTCGGTGCTCTGTGATGCCCCTGCGTGATCAGACCTACGGGGAGGAGAGGGCCCCTGGCAACGGCAACAATCAGCATCACTCCATTTCCTCCTCCGCATCTAACAAACACAGTGAGTGTTTGTGATGTACCTCCTCCCAATAACTACTACTACTACTGCTACTACTACTAGCCGTGCTCACTGAGACTGATGTCTTGTATCTGTATCAACGTGTATCTTGGTCTGTAGTGAAGGCACTTTCTCTTCGTCAACATCTGGCTTTGTGTAGACCCAAACACTTTATGTAGAGCCATTGAGCCTTTTACTGTACATAGCCTTGTGTGCTACAGAGGAGCTAAGACTAGAAGTTTGAGAACAGTATTGATTTTATTTAACTGAATTTTAGGATACAAAGTTTATTATGTCTCCCTGTGTTTCAGGCATGGTAATTTGCAATATGCATTGTTATAAATGATCATTTTTGGTGTTTATACACCAACCAAAACTTCGTTCTTTTGGTGTCCTCCATTTTTTCTGTTCATATTCTGTTAAGCTGATAACTTTTGATATTATGTTGTAATTAGTTTGGTCAAATAAGAAAATTTTTGTAGTTTTATTGGCAGGACCAGTCTCAACTTAAACTAAAGTGATATATACCTTTAGTCGTTTAATTAAGTTGGGTCAGTTGGAAAAGTATTTCAATTTGAGCTGGTTTGAAAGTGCTTAACGTCAAATGTCAAATTCCCATGCCTGAGTAATTAGAAACTTTTTTTTTCTAATTTTGTGAGCATGATGATATAAAACAAGTGATGAGTTTCTAGCAGTGAAAGGCTCTGATGGTTGAAGTGTATTCTCTTGTTTCTCACTTTTTTCTGTAGAAATTGTATCATAGTGCTAGTTTCTCTTTTCTCTTTTTGGTGCTAACAATAATAGGTAACTGTAGAATAGTCACTTGAAACTAGGTGTGAAATTAGTCTTTAATGCTGTCCCTGTCACATTTTGTAGCATACAAATAATAACGAATTTTTAAATTATGGCTCTCCTGTAAATGTTTCCTCACTGGCTTTTAGTGTGTTTTTCAATGCAGATTTGGAAAAAAAACCTCTTCCAGATCTGAAATTTCCAGCATTTGAATGCATTTTTTTTAGATGGTTCTCCCCCATCCCCCATTACCTTCAGGATATTGTTTGAGAGTACTGCATTCCTGATTATTTGGTCTTTGTGTAAGTTTTTTTTTTCTCAGGTTTTATTCAATCTTGTTCTTGAATAAGTATGATAAAATTTTATATTCTTTAAGGATTTTATATTCCTTGCTAACTACATTTTGTGTGTGTGAAGTCATCTTTTCAGCTTTAATTCAAAGAACATGCTATCTGCAAATGTTTTGAATTGACCCCTGGAAACACACTGGTATAATAGATGAATGTGTACCTTTGGAGACAGCATTTGATTTTCTGAATTCTAGTGAGCCTTGCTTTCTTCAGTTAGGAACAACAGCCCTGGACAAAAGAAATCAGTTGCTGTGATGATTGATGAAAAATGTGGGGTTGATCAGAGATCTATCTGGTAGAGACAGATACAAAGTTCATTTGTATAACACCGAAGGTTAAAAGTCGAAAAGAAGGGGCAATGTTGTACCTTTCTATATATTGTGGTAAATATGAGAGAACAGGAGTTGGGGGGTCTTCACTTTGCATTCGAAAGACCTGAGTTTGATTCTAGGATGGGGTACATGTTTTCTCCAGTTTCTCCATCTTTCAGTTGAGATGCAGTATTCCGCATGGCCTGGGTTGGTCCTGACCGCTTGGGTGAAAACTACTGTTCTCTTTTAGTTGCCTAAATAGTGTTACTGAGAGCACATACGTACATATATATATGTGTGTGTGTGTGTGTGTATATATATATATATATATATATATATATATATAATAAACGTACACTATGATAAACATAAGACGAAGTTGAATGGAAATTGACTTTCATACTTTTTCAAGACTTGTTCTAGTGTTAACTGTACAGATAAGAGGATGAGATCCTTTCTTTTCAAAAGACAGTGAAAACAAATCAAAGAGTTCTCTTTATTTAAAAACATGTTTTGTATGCTGTGCTTGCAAAAACTGTAAAAATATACTTGTTCACTTCGTAACTGAAACTTACACATGATATCTATGTATTTCTTTCTAGTAATTTTGAATGAATCATCACTTTTTAGATTTCTCTACTAATATGTGGGATGATGCTGATGCTAACAAGATGTACTCTAATGAACAAAATATGGAAGGGTTGTCCAACTGTAAACATGTGTAAAGTGTATGTATGTACTGCATTGAATGTCGAGTAGCAACTGTAAAGTAAAGTTGAAATGAAAAAGGTTACGGAAATAACCTAATATTGCAAGTTTCTTCATTCTAATTAGTCTAACTGCATAAAAGGAATGTTTATGTGGTCTCTATGGATTCTATTTCGTCCTAACACCTTTGGCATGATAGGGGGGAGCTAATTGTTTAGTATAATTCCCACCAATTCTATTGTACGCATGCTTGCTGATCATAAGTCTAGCATGGATATTGAAAAATACAGTTGGTACACGCTTTTTTTATAATGTTTGTGTTGTAATAAAGACTATTTTTAAGCATAGGAAATGATATTTAAGGAGCAGCTCATCCTTACAGGCTATAGCGTGTTTTTGTGACACTGTTGTTCTCACTTTTACCATTTTGTTGTGTCGATCCCTGTTTCATACATGTACTGGTAGGTGTTTGGTTTTTCTGTTTCAACTGTCAGGTGCATATGTCATTCTTTTTTTTTTAAAATAAAAAATAAAGCTCGGTGTCGCTGTCGCAAGAAAATTGCTGTACCATGTCCCTTTTTTCCCTGCTTTACAAGATGAGCTAAGTATTGAGAGTTGTTCCTGCGACGGCGACAATTTGATATGGTCCTTGTTGTACTCCCATCTGTCAGAAAACCCAACTTTGCTTTCCCTTTTCTGTTGTGGTAGGTCTAGTGTGTTTCATAATTTTTTTTATCTCTATGCAAGTAAGGTTTAGGTTTAGGGGTAGGTGGTTGATGGATACTCATCGTCTGATGTGGTGTTCCCTTTCTGGTCCTTTTCATTGTTGGTTAATTTTTTTCTGTTCCTGGTTTTTTAACTTCTTTGTTATTCCTTTGATTCTCCAGTAAACTACTACACATGCTACTACTCAGCAATATTAAGTTCTGGAGAAAAGTTCCACGTCTTTTGAATAGTTGTCTTATGTGTGTTGAGAGTTTATGTGACTCTCAACTATTTCAAGTGAAATTATGGGGTCTTAACATGCCTCTTTCCTCTAGTCTATATTTCTTCTTTGCGGCTTGCATTTACAGCAGATATTGCCATAGGTTGGATGTTAGGGAAAATGCTCTTGTTGTCTGTGGTGACATCAGTGGTTCTCAATGATTTCCCTCTTTTTGTCACATTTTGAAGACTGATGTACTCATTGACCAGAATGTTTGATAGATCTATGGAATTCGCTGTCCATTTGTCCATGTTTTCTGTTGTCATGCAGTACCTCTTAGTTTTCATGTCTTTTGTCACCTTAATGCTGGTGGCGTACAGTGAATGCATAGAGAAGAAAAAAAGAAAGGTACCCCAGGAAGAGTGATGCTCATGAGAAGGCGCTATCTCTCATTTGGGTACCTGAATGACTGGTTCTTATAATTAGCCACATCACTGAAAACATTGCAGGTGCTTTGTTCCATTTGCTGGTGTCATTCCATTCTATGTTATTCTCCACTTGATACTGATCGGTGCTGTGTAGTTTCCACCTTGTAACTCCCACCCTGCTGTACTCGTTGTATGTATGATGCTGTTTCTGAGAAGGGTGTTTCTGATTTCTTAGATCTAGTCTTTGTACCTTTTTCATGCTAGACAACGTAATTGCTAATTGTGATATTTCCATTTCTAATCAGAATGCTTCATAATTTAAAAAATATTTTAAAATTTCAATGTGAATTTTGGCTACCATAAAATTTAACAAGTTGACGAGAGGTCTGGAAAGTTAATCTGTAGTTTCTGATAACTTTCGAATCAGAGTAATTGTAAGTAGCGGTCCATGATGTGTCACTCGTATTGCTTGGAGGGTGGTAAATTTAATGTCGTAACGTGTTCATTTTAATTTGGATATTTTAAACAGTCTTATCTATAGCATTAGTATTGAGTACTGTGATTTGTTTGCTGGTGAATAGGTGAACAAAGAACTTGTTCAAGAAAAAATAAAGATGATCCTTTTATGAAGTAGTGTGAGTTCTCATGCAGTTTTAAGAAAATGATTCCCAGACAAAATTAAATGAATGAAATATGTGTGTGAGAGTATTTAGATATCTATGGACTTGCATAATTGTTTCATAAAATGCTGAAATTTTAGTTGTTTCAGGAAAGCTATGTATAGATTTTTATTATTTTATTTTCTATTAGTTTTTTGGAGGGGTGATAATTTTTCCATGTGTGGTTCTTTTCTTGGTCACCAGTTTTAATTTATTTTAGAATTGTTGTTGGTATCACCATTATTCTTTAAGCGTAATATAATCGAGATTTTAAAGTGAAATATACAAATTTGTGGGCATTTTGCCAGTTATTTTCAATAATGGAAAATCTTTTTGATTTGTTTTTATTTCCAGAAAAACACAGAGGCGAGAAGAACAGTATGTCTGCCAGTGCCCGCCTGCCAGTCATCAGTTCTCTCCTTGCTCCGTCTGGAGCAGGAAACCCTCAACAATCTACCGTGAGTTTTTCATCATATTTCTCTCTCATTTTTTTGGTACTATGGCTATCACATCATTGTACTTTTGTCGCCATCCTATTTTTGTAGCGTGGGTGGTTTGAAAGTGTTACTGGTAGGTAGGTTCTTCTTTTCTTTCCCTCTTTTTGTTTCTGTCTGTCCATCTCATTTTTTTTCCGAGGCTAAATGATAATTTATTATTACGTTACTGTGCTTCTCTTTACTCACTGGATCTTTAATTTTGTAATACTGTGTCTATTCTCTTGTTTGCATTAGTGTTATTTATTAAAATCTGCAGTGAATTTTATATTTTGAAGAGCATTCACTATTGACCCGATAGGTGTAAATTTTGTTGTTGTATTCACATCAGTTTAGATTGGATGGGTTTTTTTTTTTTTGGTGTTTTAAAAAACAAATATTGAGTACAGTTAATTTAATAAGGTACAGTCATAATGAACAATAAGTGTCAAAAGTTCTTTCAAATTTTTGGTTTGTGCTTGATGTGCACTCTTTTGTGAAGTAGCCTGCTCTTATATGACTATTTTTCAAATATGGTGTTACAAAATTTAAGTAGAACCTGCAGATCACCTCAGCGGACTCATTTTAACTCCGAAGTCCTATTTGTCAGCCTGATTTGTTTCTTAATTTTTGTTTTCGTTCTTCCCCATCCAGCAGTTGCCGGGCATCCAACACATTGCATCGGCGGGGAGATCAAGCAGCTCCCCCACCACTGCCCTCCCCTCGGTGGCCCACTTTCTGGGACCAGCCAAATCTCCCCAGAACACATTCAAACCCGTGACACCCGGCGTGGATCCTTACAGCTCAGCCATGGCTGCTGCTGATGCTGCAGGAGGTGGGTCAAAGGTCAAAAGTTTTTGAGAATGATGGAAAGAGAAGCTGGGTGGATGTGCAGGAGTATGTATGTGTGTGTGCGTGCGTGCATGCATGTTTGTCTGATTTGATACTACTGTCAAACCCGCTCTAATGGTCACCTGTCCAAAACAATCACCTGTACAGCGACCACTTCCCAACCCCCCTCAACCCCTTGCTTTAAAAAAGACAAATTATTATAATGACTTTTCAAGACGACCACCTGTCAAAGACAACCACTTTTCTCCTTCTCCTCGAGATTGGATGGCCATCTTGGACTATTCTGAATGTATTTATATACGTTTTATGTTACAGAAACTTACGTTAATTTCTTTCAGTTGATGATCAGTTAGTGTAATTAGCCACAAATATGGGTGTGATGCAATGCTGCATGTTGCCCATTCTGCTTTTAAAAAATGAGGAAGAGATTGTGCTGGTTTTATTGAGTGATTACGCTAAAGAAAGGAAGTTACCAATTTTGTGAGCGGTAACATGGAAATAAGATAAAACATTTTTTGTCTAACATAAACATTATATTGTAAGATTAGAATAGGAAGTATTTCCTCGTGAGTGTTGCTCAAGGTGTTTGACTCTTTGATTTATCAGGATATCTGTTTTTCAGATTCATCTCACGGAGGTACACCGTACCAAACTTCAAAGTCCAAAAATAACCGCAAACCAGTGACCCCTGCTGGTCTTCGGTTAAGTTTAGCAGCGTCGGAAGAGCTCCCTGACCCATTGCCAATACCACAGTACTCTGAGAAGGTAATAGTTTTGGGTTGGTTTCTCTTTTTGTTGGTTAAGGATGGGGGGGGGGGGGGGGTTATTTGGTGAGACTTTGCACAATTGTGTTACTTGCAAGTTTAACTTTTCAGCTATTGAATGGTTTGGGCGGAAGGGGGGGGGGGGGGGCAGGGGGAGAGAAGGAGTGATAAAGGGTGTACAATATATTAATCATGCTTTTTGTCTATTGAAAAGTGATAGACAATTGCAAAGTGGGAAGCATGATTCTTGTACAAAATATTTATTCAATCTCTAAACGGTTGTCTTCACCAGGTTCAGAGAGCCAAGCAACTGGGCACGGTGGCGTTTGACCGGCCGACGGTTCTGCGGGAGACGGTCCAGTTTTTCCTTCAGTTCAAGCACTACTGGAGCAGCCACGACTATGACCGCATCTCCAACCTAGTGGTGGAGCTCTTCCCCGAGTTCAAGGACAACAACGAGATGCCCGGTGTTCCTGCCAATGTACGTTCTGTACTCCTTATCTCTGGCAAGCCAAAAGAAATGATATTTTAAACTTTGATGCATTATATGTTCTAAGTTAATTCTAAGACCGGCGAAGAAATGTTTTGAAAATGCAGTAATCAAAGATTTAAACATAGTTATTATTGCTATTTAGATGTGTTGACATTAAAATAGGTTTGTTACTGTAAGTTATACATTTCTACATGGCCCATGAGAACTCTGTAAAAAATTGCCTTTTTTTTCTTTTCTCGATCAGAAACGGATCAGGACAGATTTGTCGATGTATGCTAGAAACTTCCGTCGCAGGGAAGTCTCACAGCGTAAAAAAGAGGGCATCATGACCTCTCCAGCAGGGGAGCATAGTAAAGATCCCTCATTAAAACTGTCATCCCCTTACGGACACCCTACCTCTCCAAGTGCCAATGGGAATCCAGGAAATGTCGGGAGCAACAATGCCTCTGACTTCTGCAACGAGCTTCTCACAGCTGCCAGTATCATCGAGAGCCAGAACTGTCCTAGTGGTGTGCGCAATGATTGTACGTATATGAGACTGCATTTTTTATGTTTTGTAGAGGCTGGGTTTGTTTGTTTTTTTTAAAGTATGGAGAGCTGTATATTGTCAGCATAGTTCCTGTCTTAATTGCCACTGTGTGACTATATGTTTATTGCTTATCTAATTTACAATACATTCCCTTTTTTTTCCCTTTGTTCAGAAGTCTTTTTCTTCTCATTCATCATTTAAATGTAAATCCCAGTCTCCAGTGCGAAGGTTACTGTTCACAGGTCCTCCACAGACGCCCCTTAGAGTTTCGAGTGTCTCTGCCTAGGGTTGGGCCAATATTTTTTCTAAGCGCCTTGAGCAGGCTTAGAGCAAATGTCGTTTATAAGTGAAAAAATACTCTTTGTATTTCTTGTTTGTGGTTGGGGGTGCTATTGGTGTGTAGTATGGTGTTTCTGTTCCCTTTTTGATTCTGAGCATTTGGCCATTATTGTGTCGATGTGGTTCTGTTTCTCAAAGTGAAATTTGGTACCCTGACTGCTGTATGTCCAGGTGCCTCTTTTACTCTTGGGTAATCAAATGTTTAAAATGATGCTCTAAATGATTGCATTATGAAGTCGACTCTCAGTAAGTATTTATCTAATCAACCCACTCTCTGTTTCTCTACTCGACAGTACATGAAAGTGGACCGTCCAAGGGGCGGGCAGAGGAAAGTCTGTCTGGGACCCCGGAGATGCTGAGGCACAAGCATGGCCTTTCGCTAGAAGGGGAGGGACGGACCCCCAGCAATGGCGAACCACACCGTAAACATGGAGAGCTCCCTGATGATGAGACGGACGATACGCCCATCCACTTTGTGTATGACAAGGAGCAGATGACGCCTGCAACACGTGACGCAAACACTGCTTGGCAGGTGGGTTTGTGCCTCATCAGCTCGTAGAACCTGAGAAGGGGTCTCTAAGAATAAAAGATTATTGTACCTTAAGGGACTTTATTGATAAAGAACATGAAGCTTAATTTATGCACATAAATTTATGGCGTTTATGATGATCAGGAGTGGCCTCTGTGATGTAGTGATTTACAGCCACTTTGCTGTTGCATGCAGATGGCTAAAGTTTGATTCCCATGGGGGGTGAATTTTTATGAAGCATCTCTAGTCTTTCTTCGGCGGCCCTGACAAGGAGGATTGAAGCCTGCCTCCAAAAATGATGCACTTTGTGTTGAGGGGTATGAAAAGACATGCATAATGCTGTCTTATAAATCATATGTGAGGCATCGTGAAATCAGGCGCTCGTCAAAGTAATGAAATCCAAGAAATCTGCATTTTTTGGCCAGTTTGGACTTTGTTTTTCGAATTTTTCTTTTTTTGGCTGAGCACCTTGTATGTCCATTCAAAACTTTTACGTGTGGATTTTATGGAAAGGCACAAAAAATTTTAATTTGCAGTTTCCAAGGACTCTTACACGATGGAAGTCACCAGACTTTGGCGGCCATTTTCCCGCTAATTTTACCTCTGAAACCAGGCCACCCCACCCCCTTCAATGTGGGTGGTTGACGGGTGCTCCGGTGTGGTTTGCTCCTTCTTTCCTATCCAACGTCTGTCTTCCTGATCTCTTCTCCTTTTTTGTGTTTGTTACTCTCTTGTAACACCTCTAATCTTCGAAACTTATATGACCTTATTGTGTTGTTAGTGCCGTAAAACACTTACTAAAACTAAAACCTCCTTCAATCGCAAATATCTCGACTTCTGTTCAAGATAAATGGATATTTTTTAATGGAAAGCAAGGCAACTGAACATCCTTAGCTAAGATGATATCAATAACTCAAGATGCCCAAAAATTCACGAATTTCTGATTCCACTGCTTCCTGGCACATATTACTGTGTGAAAGTAAACACTAGATACTCAAAATGGGCTGTTGTGCTGCAAGACAGGATAAAAGATTCTGTTTTTCACTCAAATGTATCTCTTTGCAAAGTTTTTGTTTACTGCATGGAAAACAAAATACACCACTCGAAAAGAGTGTTGTTTCTTTACGGTTTTTTTGGTATCCTATCCTTGTTTGCTACTTTGCTCACAGGCTACTTCATATGCCAATGACATAATTTTCACATTATCTTAACACTTTGCCGTCACATCTCGCCGATCGATGTTTACCACCCAGTTTCTTTGGATTTTTCCTAAAATGCCTTTGCCTTCGATGGCAAGGGCTTTTACTATATGGGCCTTGTGATGGCAAGGGCCTTTACTATATGAGCCTTTCTTTATTTCTGATTTGGATGATTTTGTTAACAGCACCCATGCGGAGCCTTATGTATGAACTAAGCTATATACGTCTGACCGCATCTTTCTCCTTCCATCTTCTTATGAATGAACTAAGCTATACATATCGTACTGACTGCTTCTTTCTTGTTCCATCTTCTAATGAATGAACTAAACTCTTCATATCTTACTGACTGCTTCTGTCTTGTTCCATCTTCTAATGAATCAACTAAACGATACATATTTTACTGACTGCTTCTTTCTTGTTCCAGCTCTACTCTGACCAGGTGGCTCAGATGGCAAGCAGCTCTGTGTTAGATTACGGGATGACAACAGACGTAAGTTATTGTCGTCATAATCATAATTTTGTTGCTTTCTGTATTATTTTTTTCCCAAACATATTTTCCTGGTTGCAAACAATTTACTTCCACACTGTTGGTTTTAGCTTTTCATTACGGGACTACAAAGTGAAAATGATTTTAGTCTCAAATACAGATGATACTCCCTGTTTAGTATGAACTCGACGTGCGAAGATAGTGTAGCTCTGAGTGATGGAAAGTGTATTGTGGGTTCATTGCTGTAAAATACAAAATTTTCATTTATGCCACTTAGCACAAATCAAAAAGAAGTTAAGGCTGTCCATCTGATCTTTTACTCATTTTTATCTATTGATAACTTGAGCTGGGTTGTGAAGTTTTATGAGAAGTGTGGTTTCATACACTTCAGGGTTCTGAGAGGGAAGACTGGCTGGCTAGTGCAAATGATCAGGACTGGCTTACTGGCCATGTCCTACTGACAGTGTGCGCCTGGTTCTTGAGTCCTCAAAGAATTGTTCTAGTGTTCCTAGGGACGCTGATTAAGTATGTTAACTTCATCTTCAGGTTTTAATTGTTTAGTACGTGGACACCATTATTGGTCTCCGAACTTGTTCTCCTAATACTTGTGACGGTTTGAGATGGTTGGCAGTAAAGCACATGTCGGTGTGAACATCTGTGTAAGGGTATTGTCAGTCCAGTCGAAGTTTATATTCACACTTACTGTAGAACTTATATTTTAGGCCAACTGTGAAGTAAATGAGCCTGTGGGAAATTTCCACTCTGTTGTCCTGCAGCCACCTCATGCATCTTGCTTCTTTAAAAAAAATTTTTTTTTTTTTTTTTTTGGTATCCTACCCTAAATTTGCACATTTTCTTGCTTGCTTTATTTAATTAACCCTTATATTTTTGGGGAAGTTTTTCTGGTTTTTGTTTTATCTTTTTGATTCATTTTTTATGATCTTATTGTTTATCAGTAATCAGTCTTATAACTGTACTGACGTAACAGAAGAATTTCCCCCCCCCCCCTTAGAGCTCTGAGGGGTAGAGTTGCTTGAAGTTAACCCTGTTCTTGAGTTGATGAGGAGGGGGGAAGGAGGGTATCAATTTTGTGCAGCTGTTTCATGTGCTCATAACGAGATTACACACATACTCATAAAAGCAGATTTGCATTCGGACTCGACAGGGCTTCTTTATCTCGAAACAGTTTGTTGAGTGTGTATAACAATAAGCAAAAGAAAGTTTGTGTGCTCTGAAAAGTGAAATCTAAGAAAGAAAAGTTTTATTGATTTGTCCAAATGGTTATTTACTGAGCTGTACATGTCTTGATGCCTAGCAATACAAAATAAGTTGAAATGTGGTATTGATGATAACCTTTCATAATTTTCTGAGTGCTTACTGTAACTTAATTCTTGTAGATAAACTTCATTCACACTTGTCTCCATTTGTGGGCTGTTCTTAAAAAAAAAAAATAATTTCACAAACTCACAAAGACGTTCATTCATCAAATAGGTTTTTAACATTAATATATGTGACAGAAAAGGCATTACTGACTTAACAAAAAAAACCCAAAAACAACAACAACTGAGAAAAATAGAAGTGCTTGCCATGCGATTGCACGAATTTTACAGATAAGTAAAGTCGAATTTTCACACTTTAACTAGTTGTCATACTTGTGAATGAAAAATGAACCAAACTTTCTGGATTTAAAAGATATTTTGTACACGTTTTTAGAAAGTAGTTGGGTTCAGTTTGGTAAATCTAACATTTGTATTTCAAAATTGAAATTGCTACATTTCATGTTGATAAGTATCCATTGTGATTGTAGTGGAAAAGTTGAAGAAACAGTTAACGTAACTTCACAAATGAAGTGATATTATTAAATTATTAGTCACACTTCCCATGGTAGTCTGCATGGTTAATAAAAAAAGATTTCACTTTTTTTTTCTGCCATAAGCTTTTTTTCCGGCTCTTTTGTGCTTGCCCAGCTAACATAATATATACCCAGAGATCTAACTTGAAAAGTGTTGTGAATCAATAAAGCTTTTTAGCCAGCAAATTTTCTTCTTTCTGTGGAAAAATGAATAGTGGTATCCATCAATGATGTATACATCTTTTTTTTTTTTTGTTGGTTTTATTTTTGTTTATACTGCTTTCTTTTTGTGTGTATGCAATTGAAATAGCTCCTGTATGTAGTTGCTGCTCAGGAAGGTCTCTCTTTTTCGATAATGGAGAATAAAAGAAAGAGAGAAAGACAGGAGGAGGGGCTTGAAGTTCCATTAGGGAAGGGTGACCCCTCCCCCTCGTGCATTTCAGGAAGCGGCAGCGACACCATCGTCGTCGTCGCCAGCAGCAGCGTCGTCGTCGTCAAACACTGACCGGCTGTCGGCCATGGCCATGTGGCGCTCCACAGCACTCCCCGACCCCCTCCCCACCCCGCCCTACTCGGACAGCGTGATTCGGGCACGCGAGTCGGGGAACACCATGTCGGCCCGGCCCAAAATCATCCGGGAGACCACCCAATACTTCCTGGCGCTCAAGCTGTGGTGGACCGCCCCTGATTACGAGCGGATCGCTGAGCTGGTCTTGCAGAACTTCCCAGCGCTTGTTAGCCTTGTAAGGTCCCCTTCCCACAAGTTCCCCTCCTGTTGCGCTGTCTCTCTCCCCGTCTCCCTGTTCAGTATGTGTATCAGAAAACTTTCTAGTACGTGTATCAGAAGACTTCTGACTGATAGGAGGATGTAGCTGTAGTTGGTAGGGGTGCCACTTTCCTGGAAAGTCCCATCTAGCCAAAGCTTTCGGGTACTAGATCTTTTTTAGAATTGATTTGACAGACAGTTTATGGCCTTTTTTTTTTTTAGAGTGATGAGTCAAAACAGTGTCCAAATTTCTGTTTCAACACGTGAACATTCATCCTTGAAATAGTAAATACCCATTGTCAATGACTGACTACCCTTGAAGTAGAAATAACATTTCTGAAAAGGGGGGGTGGCACCATAGAGAATTTAGTGCCATGATGTTGACCCTGTTTTTGTTGGAATGGTCGGAGTGAACTATTTGGTATCTGTGCGTTCGTGGTGGAAGGGTGTTGTGTTCTGTGGTCTTTGGTCTTGTAATTAGCGTTGAAGGTAACGTTGTCTTCATCTGCTTCACTCTGTAGGGGTGTCACTTTTACAGGAGATTTCTTGAATTTCGGAATCAATGAACAATCGATGCCTTTTGGTATTTTCCGTTGTGTGTTTTTTAAAGATTTTTCGGTTGTGTCCGTGTATGTCCTGCTTTACTGACGTGGTATGGGATTGGCCAGTTGCTAGTTTTTAAAGATATTCAATATGCTCTAAAAATTTAGATAGAACTTAGTGGCACGGCTATGCTGGGGTCTGACAGTGTTGATTTTTCGGTAACCATTTCCTTAGATTGTTGGTGGATGGCAGGTACTCTGGAGTGATTTGCTTGTTTTCTATCAGAAATCTGTTGTCTTTATCTCTCCTTCTTTTCTTTGTTTTCTTCTCTGTAGTAACCACTTCCTATTTGTGTTGCAAGTGCTGTAAAACTTCTGCTTTAACTATTAAAAAAGGAAGCTCGGTAGGTACATTTTCCGTGATTTATACAGTAGTGCAACTCAAGCGTGCGTTGATGGAAAGTAAAGAATTAAGATTGTCTTTTCTGCATCTAGTATTGCTTTATGGTTGACAAAAAAAAAAGAAGAAAGCAATACTGTTCTGTAAATGCTTTTTCTTGTTACAAGTTTTGATACTAGCGTACAATTGTGTGCAGCGTTTATGGAAAATTTCCTTGGTATTAGTGGCACCTCTATGGTTTTTTTTTTACTGGATTAATATTGGGAAGGGTGAGTCTAGAAAGGCTGTTTTGGACGGAACACGCATGCACTTGGACAGTGGAAAAGCTTTTAGTGTTGTTTGTATCTCTGTGTAGTCATGTGACTTTATGGAAAAAAATCTGTTTTGGGTGGCTGGTTATATTTATGTGTCGGTGTAACATGTGCATGTACCTCCTGTTCTTTTAAATTCATCAACAGTTTTAGATTTTGTTTTTTTAATAATATAGTTTCCATGACTTTGTTAGTACGTTTGACCTCTGTAGGTTGAGGTTTTAGGTAGTAGATACAGTATTTCTCATTCGATCCCTATGAGATTGAGATATTTAGTGAGTGGTTGGCGGGTGCTCTGGTGTGATTTGCTTCTTCTTTCCTATCAAACATCTATAGTCCTTATCTCCCCTTCTTCTTTTTTATGTTCAATACTCTCTTGTAACACCTCTAATCTTCTGGCGCTCTTATGACCTCATGCAGTTGCGAGCGCCGAAACACCTCTGTTAAAACAAACTGAAGGAGATATTTAACGGACAATGTCCGTAACCTGCTGGGTTGTATCCTGCCTAAATTGTCTTTGCAGAGATGTAAGACATGAGGGAGAAATGAACTCCCCTTCCTCACACCCCTCCACAATTTGTTACCCATTTCAAATATGAAAATATGGCTTTGGAATAATTGTTAGCCTTGCTTTTAAGTTTTTCCTTTTTTTTTTCATAGACTCTTCTACTTTTTAAGATGTGGTACTGATGAATATTCATTATTTATTTATGGGTTATGAAGATAATTATAATAAAATGAGAAGGATTAAGTATAATTAATAATAGGTTACTCCATTTCTTTGATGATCTTTTTTATTTTACTGAAATTGTTTTCAGGGAAGTGCTTTAACTAAGGTTTTTTTTTGTGTCCTTCAAACAGGGGATGTTGCTGCTGTAATTGCCCCCTCCTTCCTATAATTTCTCTTCTCTCTAATGGTTTGCACTATTTATAGGATCTAAAGTTCTTTTCCTTTTGGAGGCATTATTGCCAAATTGGACTTTCAGCTTGCCTGATTCACGTAGTTAGAATTGCTAGTGTCTCCTTGGTGAGCAGTTTTGACATTTCTTCAGATTCTTTTATTTCGTGCCAGGTTTCCCATTTCCAAAGCCTTATGTGCCTTTCTGTATTCGCTTTACATTCTTGAATTTCATAAAAATGCATTCCCAGAAGGCTGTGTAATCTGTTGATATAAAGACTAAGCAGGCATCTCGGATAAGATACTGGGTTTATGTTAATATATTAGAATGTGTCATAAGTGAAGTGGAGGCAGTTTATAAGTGACATACCTGAACCCCACCTAGCTGTGGGCTGTATTTGGATAAGATTTATTGTTAACTCTTTTGGTTGATCAGTACTGGCCCCAGTAGATCTCTCTCTCTCTCTCTCTCTCTCTCTCTCTCTCTCTCTCTCTCTCTCTCTCTCTCTCTCTCTCTCTCTCTCTCTCTCTCTCTCTCTCTCCCTCCCTCCCTCCCTCCCTCCCTCCCTCCCTTCCTCCCTCCCTCCCTTCCTCCCTCTCTCTCTCTCTCTCTGTCTTTCTCTCTCTCTCTCTCTCTCTCTCTCTCTCTCTCTCTCTCTCTCTCTCTCTCTCTCTCTCTCTCTCTCTCGCACTCACTCACTCTTTTTCTCTCTTTCTTTGTATGATAGTCATTGTTCTTATGAATACTTATCGGTCTAATTTCTTTTCTGGTCTCATGAAATCTGCATGTTTCCATTGTTATTAGGTCAAATAGGTGTGCGGTACCATATGAAAACTCATCATTTTGGTTGAATTTTGGCATCTGTACTCAATACTTTGCTCAGTTAGTTGCTTTTACTAAACATTTTGCTTGTATCATTAAATTATTACAGTTGCAGCCCAGAATATTTTTAGTCACAAAGGTTAACTTTTTCCTTTCCTGCACAATAGAAAAAAATATGACTGCTTTTGTTTGATATTTTGTTGGTTATTGAGTCAATTTTTTGAAGTTCTGGTATGGGATATTTACTGTTTTAATGGTGAAAAGTTAGATTAAATATTTCTTGTCTCTGTTCTGCCATTGGAATCTTCTGATGTGTTTTCTTATGGTGCTGTGCTAATTTAGCTCCAGTTTGATAAAAGAGATGTTGTTATTGTCATAGTTCGTTTGGTAACTTGTTATTATTTAGTATGCGCAAAATTATTTGCTCTTGTGAATGGTATCAGGACTCAGATGAAGGATTCTATTGAAGCATGTGGAAAATGGTTTTTGTTTTCTGTTGTTGTTAGTAATGTGTAAGACTGTTAAACATGTTTACTGTTCTCTCACACACATACACACTCAAACATACTAGCGTGTTTTATTAAGAAAAAAATTTTGCTGATACTGTGGGGGGTTTGGTTTGGGGGGTGTTCTTGTAATCATATAGCTTCATTTTAGTGACAGAGACTTAAATTCTCTCTGCTGTGGGAATCTTTACATATGTGTATTTATATATGTGTGTGCATTTATTTCTAACTAGTTTTTTGTTAGCATTCAGACCTGAATTTGTTCAAAGTTTCTTTCGCTTAGTCGAAAAAGTTTCTTCTGTTCATATGCTGAAGTGAGTTATCTTAAAGCCTTATTAAAATAGTTGTAAAACTATTTCTTTTCTCTCCTTCTCATTCAGCCTATCAGTCTAGCTTCTTCCCGTCTCTGAGTGATCTTTATCATGTTGATGTGCTCTCCATTCACCTAAAACGAACTTAACCATAGAGTCTAAGTCTAAAGTTTGATGTTTTTAAAAAATCTATATATACATCGTTGTAATTTTTTTCTGTGGACAGTTTTATCAAGATGTCAGTACTGTCTTGTTTAAGCACCTGTACCACGTTACATGTATTTTCTCATGTTTTTAGGCACCCATTATTAGGTATTAGGAGATTAAGAATTTACTACCTCTCTGCTCTTTGCGTTTACTTAAGCTTTTGAACATTTTCATTGAAATATTTAGGTATCTTTCCTTGTGCTGTGTTTACAATTTTACTACCTGTATGTCAGTATGAGATGATTGAATGTTGTTGCTTTATGTTTACCCGAATATCTTTTTGTCAATTTGTTTTCTTTCATTTGTTTTTGCCTCTTTCTACATAATCGTATTTAGAGCAGTGATGGGGACCATACGTTTTTTTAAGAAATCATAACCCTCTAAAATCATGCGCTGGGTAGATTTTAGGTATTGCAATGTCTGTTGTAGTGGTGGTGATGGTGGTTTTTTAAAGTTTCAGGGTGCTAGAAGGTATTTATTTGTGATGTGGCATAATTTCGAAAAGATGCAACAAATGGTGCTTGGTATCTGTGCTGTGTCTTGCATCTTTTTCAAAACAACACTTTTGGTGGTATTTGTCAAAACATGAACTCGACTCCCTTTCTTGTGGAGTAAAACAGATCAGTGTGGTCGTCCACCCCATAGCGCTGCCAGCTAATGTAAAGCAATATAAACTCTGGTATCATTCTTAGCTAAATTGTGATTCACTTTATTTCAGTGTTGGATATGAGGATTAACACCCCTCTCCCCCTTGAGATTGTTTTTGAACCTTTGCTGTCTGAAAAGTTCTTAAGTCTGGTCACCTCATACTGACAGCGAAAAGTGTTTAGTTTTTAGGTATCGGCTTTTGTATATCTTATTCTATTCTTGGGTCTAGAACTCGGCCCAAACAACTTTTGACATCTTCACTGTGCAAAGTTGTCTCTGGGTGGTCACAAACAGTTGCGGTTCCAAAAATACTTGTACTGTGAAATTGATACAGCCATAGATTTTTCGGCCAGTCGTATGAATTTTCATGTAAAAATCAAAGCATGAAATGATTTACTCTGATTGTAAAGAGATAGGTGTAGGGTACATTAAGAAATGGTTTTTGTTAAACTAAAAGATGCATTTTGTTTTGAAGAGAAACATATTAGTTTGTGTAATGACCCAGGGGTGTCTTTTTTTCTATTTTCATCAGCAAGCCATCAAGAAGGACCTAGGCACCTGTGCAAGGAACATGCGACGTCGTCTGCCTGCTGCCAAATACAAGCCCAGCTCAGCCACCCAGAAGGCCTGGGTGAACAGCCAAACCGGTCTTGAGCAGTCTCCGTCAGAAGGCGGCGGGGGCAACCATCCCCACCAGGCCCTAAGCTCGGCGGGGACTGCCGAGTACATGAAAGCTCTGATGGCGGCCCAGAACATGAACTTGACGGAGCTCAGCATGACCCAGAGAAACTTGGGAGAGCTGGCCGTCCTGGCGGGGATCAAACAGCGGATCGAGCAGCACCCACAGGACGTGACGGACCTGGAGCGTCAGTACCTGGCCCAGTGCACCAGCGAGGAGCAGCGACAGGCTCTGATGGCTTCGGGGGCTTTTGGGAACGATGCTGCAGCTATGGCAGCACTGAGTGCGTTTTATGGACAACTTGGTGTGGATATCACAGGAGGAGGGGGAGGAGGGGGTACCAACAATGTGGGCAGTGGAAGCAGCAGTGGGGGGAAGAGGAGTTTGATGGCAGGAGAGTATAATTCTTCCCATTCGTCGGCTGTTCAGGAGGAGGGTTTGGGGCACGCCGGCGGGGACATGAGTGACATGGCCAACAGCAAGCGGCAGAGGCGCATATCTCAGGCTGAGGTGGAGAAACGACTGAGAGAGGCAGAGCTCAGCCATCAGCATCATACCGCTAGCTTGTCCTCAGGGGGAGCTGACACTTCTGCTGCCAAGGGACACCATCAGCTCTCTGTGGGCGTGTCTGATTCGAGTAGACCTCTGGTGAAACGCGAACCTATGTCTCCCTCGGGTACTGAAGCAGGTGCTGGTTCGAAAAGTGCTCAGGGGACACCGAAGCAAAGCCACCAACATCTGACTGTTCCGAACCCCATGGCCATGTTCCCGGCCAACGCGGCCCACGAGCACGCCGCCTACTGGGACGCCCAAGCGGCTGCCAACATGGCGCTGATGGGCGTGGCCTCCATGGCGCACTCCGTGCCCAGCACTGCCCCTGTAGCCACCCTGGCACACTCACAGGCCCATGTCCAGCACCTGGCTGGCCATGAGGTGTCTGCCTCGGACGTGGCCTCCACTGAGGCGCCCATGAACCTTGCTTATCACCACGACGCCGACAAGCCCGAGCACAACACTTCCTCCACCCCTCCTCTCCCGACAGATCCCCTGCCCGACACAGCCAGCCTGGCTGCACAAGTGGAGGTGACCACGTCCTCCATGAAGTCCACGTCCAGGCGGAGAGCCTCGTCCTCCCCGCGGTCAGCTCACAACGACTCCGGGATCAGCTCAAGGGATCAGGTACTGGACTTGGAGATTATGGGATTTAATCGATTTTTTTTTCGAGAAAATGTTAGGGTAGCACTGATGGGTAAATAGGTAGGGTGTTAAACGGATTTCACACTGGTGACACACTAACTGTATTATTTATTGTTAAATTGCTACAGATAGATAATTCTTTGTAGTGTTTATTTTAAAGAAAAAACATAAAATAGGTAGTGAAAATGTGTTAAGTTGGTTCTTTTGTTGTTGTTTGTTTTTTTGTTTTTTTCAAATGAATTTCTGCTCTAGAAGGAGTTGCATGCTTTACACTGGCATGGGTCAATGGCAGTGTTTTTATATTCTTCCCTACTTTGTTTAGTTGTTTGTATTTTGGTATTCAATTGAAAAAAAAATTAAGTTCACATTTTATATTTACTTGAAACTGGAACTAAATTTGTTGTTGGTCCTTATGCCTGGGAAATTTCAGTTGCCTTCTAAATGTTGATTAATCTGGAATGTATGTCCCATATAGACTTTGCTAGTCTTACTAGCAAAGGGAAAAATTGAACAAAATATTGTAAATATTTTCACTTGTTATCTTTTAGTGTTGGTCTTGGAACAGCCATATGGTCTAGTGGAAAGTTCAATGTCATGTTTGCTATTCCTTACTGATAAACAGCTGTTTGTTCTCTGGCATTTATTTTTCTTGGTCTGTCTCTTTTTCTGTATTTTTTCGTCTTTCTTAACTTCACTTTGTATTATGTTGTTTGATATTGTGTGATTCTAAGACTGTATGTAAGAATAAAGAGAATGGTCAGACCCTTTTGTTTAGATAAGTTCATATAATAATTGAAAGATGTTTATCATTGTTAAAAATACCTCCCCTTTTCTCACTCACAGCAGGTCTGGTTTCCTCATGGCTCCGGCTTCAAGAAGGAGAACCAGGAAGTTGTGTGTCTCCCCGAGCCCTTGCCCGTCCCAGTGTACTCCCAGAAGATTCTGGCAGCTCGCAGCGATGGCTCCTCCATGCGGCATCGGTCGGAGATCATCCGGGAGACGGCGCGGTTCTTCCTGGGCCTGAAGCACTGGTGGTCCAGCGCCGACTACACCCGCATCTCCGAGCTAGTGGTGCAGCAGTTCCCAGACCTCAAAGATGACAACACGGCGGACGGCATGACCAACTATGTGAGTTTCTTTGTGAGTTGTGGGAGAGGACAAACCTCTTCATTTCTTATTATTCATTTACGGTTTATTATCTTTTTTTGGGGGGGGGGGGGGGGTGTTGATTATGATGGATGTGGATAGGGGATGTTAAATAGTGATGGAGTGATTGGTAGTGTGATGAACTATTAAGCTTGCTTGGTTCGAGATTTTTTTTTTACACAAATGGAGAACCACTGTTGTTTAGCTTTTTAAAATGAATTTTGACATTTGGGTGGGGGGGGGTTGTTGTTTATTGGCAGCTTAATAATAAACAGCATGACCTACTATTTTAGTTTATTTGGACTACTCTTACTGCAATTTATGTTTCGCTTTTATGTCTTTGCAACATTTTAATAACAAATCAAAAGCAAGCTTTACGAGTTCTTGAGAAATCTGAATTTGATTTAATCCTCTTAGCGGAGAATCCAGCGCGACCTGTCCATGTGTGCCCGGAACTTGAGGAGAAGCAAAAAGCCGAGGAAGATACGAGACTTGACCGGTGACGCAGCAAACTCCATGTCTGACCCAACCATGCCGCGGGAAATTACCCCGAAGAAGGCCAAGTCGAAATTGTCGTCGGAGAAGAAGAAAAAGCAAGGCAGCGGGCTCTCCAAGCTGAAGAAAAACAAACAGCACCACCAGGAGGCCTTGCCGGCTGTCGTCACTGAGCCTGCGATAACGGCGGGGGTCAATGAGGACATGACGGCTGCCGCTGCCCTATTGCAGCAACAGTTCATGCAGTCCAACGGCTCGACTGTCTCCTCTTTCCACCCCAGCAGCCACCTGCTACCTTCGGCGCACCTCCTCCCACCTTTGCATACACATCCAGCTCTGCACGAGCAGCAAATGCAGGTAAGTTCTCCTTTGTTTTGTAGAGATGGCCTGTGTATTTCTCAAGCACTTTGTGATTCGCCTCTGCAGGTGGGGGGGGGGGGGGGGGGCATAGTGTTACTATGGGGAGCAAAGAATACACCTACCGTGATACTGCATGTCGTAAGAGGCGACTAAAGGTGCATAGGTCTGGTCTCCCTAAAGAGCCAGTTTGCGGAGGGCCAACTACCCGATCCAGTTAAAACTGTTACAGATACGCTGACAAACTCGGCTATTTATTTTTCGATCTTGAGAGATGGAGGAGCTTCTGCATTAGCAGGAACAGTGAAGGACAGCGGACAAAGCTGAAAGGACTCTCCTGACCCGAAACCTCTGTCCAACAAATCTCTCCGGATTGCGCCGTGGAATGTTCGCACCATGTATGAAGCAGGAAAGAGTTCTCAAGTATCACAAGAGATGAAGAGATACAGGCTGCTCATAATTGGAGTGAGCGAAACCACAGGATATAGTCTGGACAGAAGCAAAGAATCACGGAAATTGATGTACAGAAAAATGGGAAGACATGGAATAACATCAAGAGGCTAGCCCGGGATAGAGACAGTTGGAAAGTGTTTGTCAGTGGCCTTTACCCTGGTGCAGGGTGAGAAAGGCAATGATGATGATAATGATCACTTTGTGCTTATCTTGCTATCTACATTTTTTCTCAACAAAGCATAGAGATTGAGGACCTTTCGTAAATGACAGTCTTCTGGTTTTGGATATTTTGGGGGAGGGGAGGGGGGGGTATCGCGGAGCGAAAGAGCTATTGTTATTATTATTATTTATGTGTAGATGCTATTGTAAACCAGTTTTCCGTGGGGGCCAATAAAGTTGGAATTTATTCTTTTATTTTGCATTGTTGCTTCTTTATTGCTATGCTCCCCTCTGCTCATCCTACACTGCCTTCCTTCCCTTATCCAGGCTCAGCTGCACAACAGCCTCGTACAGCAGCAACAGCAGCAGCAGCAGCAACAACAGGTGGAAGAACAGCACAGCGTGACGGTGGAGGAGCCTCAGGCGGCCAGGAAACTGGTGAAGGAAGAGCCGCCCAGCACCTCAGCAGACACAACAGGAAACTACGAGTCTAGTAAGTACCATATGTTCAGACCATTGAGCACGCTTTCAGTATATTTTTGTCTTCTTATTTTTCACTCTTGTTTTAAAGAATGGTTATATACTATGGGAATGTCCAAATTGTTATATTGTTTAGTTTTGGAAAATAGAAAGCACTTTATTTTGAAAAGTACAGACATTTAAACAATACAGTGCAAATATTTTCTTGTACTTTCAATTGTAAAGGCTTTTAATGGCACATACGGTTAGCTTGTTATAATTTGAATAGGGGATGCTGCTCTATCGCATGTGGATGGCATATTTTCTCTACATTTACTACCTCTTTAGACCTGCATGTTTGCCGACAATCGTCTGAAATCCGACAATCGCGACCCGACCCGCGAATCGGCCGATGCTATCACCAGGCCCGCCTGTAGATCAGTCAATGTGCGTAGTGCGAGGCCTGGCCAACTGCCAGCGACCCCTTTTTCTCCCGTCGCTTTGTCGGCACTTTCGTCTTCGTTCCGACCGCCGACGCGCGCACTGCCGACGTCGGCATTTCCGACATAATTGTCGGAACCTGAGTAGAAATGCGAATACGAAAAAAGACGACAACCTAAATTATCTACTTTCAGTTTCGTGCTCGAGCGGCCATTTTGAATTTCTTTTGTTGACTAATTCAATTGTTCAGATCGTGTGGATTCATTCAAGTCCGACTCTCTTGTTCTAATAGAATCTAGATTAGATCTAGATCTAGATTTATATAGATCATTATAGACCTCAATGGAAGATTCATATTCCAATTCTATTGTGTCAAACCCTATCATAGGTTGTGCTGTAATATTAATATTGGTAAAAATAAGCCTTTCATCAGGTGCGTGGGCGTGAATTATTTATTTATTTAGATCTAGATATAGATCTAGATCTAGAATCTAGACTCAGCTGAGTCCCTCTGTTCGGAATCGGATGCGGATTTCTAGTTCAAGGCCTATTCCTATTCACTTGTTCTACAAGATCTAGATCTAGATTTATTTAGATTACTAGATCTATATGGAGGATTCATATTCCAATTCTATTGTGTTATTGTATTATTGTATCAAACCCTATAGTAATGTAGATGTAAGCCATATATAGATCTCTAGATCTAGATCTATATGCTCCTTGTTTGTTTTGGAGTGTGGTTTTTTAATTAAAAATTTTTTTTTTCATTTAGGACTTGTTTTGGCCTTTTTACATGAGGCCCGTTGCAGGTTCTTTTTGGGGTTAGGGTTAGGTCTCTTCTTTATTGTGTTTGTAGGGGTTTTCACTCGTTACTCGGATGTCCTTCCTTATGACATCCACAAAGGCTTTTTGGGGGGGGGGGGGGGGGGGGGGGGGGGGGGGTTGCGCAAAAGTTGAGGCTCACATGCAGGTCTACCTCTTGTTTTACTACAAGAACAGTTGGACATTCTCTATTGACTTGTCCAAGACAATCACTTGTTCAGATTATCACTTCCTCCCTTTTGGTTGTTGTTTTTTTTTTTTTTGGGGGGGGGAGGTTATAATGAGAATGTTCTAGAGGACTACCTGTCTAAGATGATGACTTTCCTCCTTGATAATGGGTGGTTGTCTTGGACAGGTTTGACACTCACTACTGGGACATCTGTATGGATGGGTTTCAATCATATCAGGTGATATCAGTTACCGCATGTTCAGGCAAAATTTTGTAAAAGCTAAAAAAAATTGTTTTTTGCATTTTGCAGGTATGAAGTCTGCCAGTGCCGTGGCTGCGATCTCCAAGCCGTGCACCCCGACGATGGAGACGGGTCACGTTGAAGTGGAGGCTGGGGAGGTCCCTGCCCAGGCCACCAGGTCCTCTCACAGCCGGGAGATGGAGGACGCAGCGCTGGTCAAGGCTGATCAAGGTGAGATACAGATTAGGGAGTGAGGGATGGATAGAGGAAAGGTAGAGGAATAAGAGACACAGAGGTAGATAATGGCAGAAGGAGTGAGGGATGGATAGAGGAAGAGAGAGGGGGAATAAGAGATACAGAATGTGTAGAGGAGGAAGAGAAGAGAAGAAAAAGTAGAAACTGAGAGGGCGAGATAGGCAGGCAGGGGTAAAGGTAACTGAATTCTCTATAAATAAAGCCAAGTGCAGAAATGACAGTTCTAGAATTACACAGGAATGATCTGTCCAGTTTCTTGGCTGACTTTTATTTTGTGATATAAAAATTGGGCAGTCTACTGAAGTAAATATATGTATTTTAGTCAGTATAGTATAGTATAAGGTTTTACGGCGCTCGCAACTGCTAAGGTCATATGAGCGCGCTATTTTAGTCAAAGAGGGGGATCATCTGGTATATATCTGAATGTGAAATAAAATGTCACTCCTTTTTCATAAATGAATATAGAATTCATTTTGGTTAATATCAAGGGAATTTGTCTTGATTTGTTAGTTTTTAAAACAAATTATACGTAAATTTCTTGTCACAAGCCTTAATCGAAATTTCTTGATGTGTGATTTATTTTCAGAGAAAATTGGCATATATCAGCCAGCACAAAACACCAAAAAGACATATGTGGATCCAGACCATGGGTCCGACCTACAGACAAAGTTTGCGAACCTGTGGCAGCGAGGAAAGTTCTTTGATGCTTCCCTGGGAGTGGCCAATAAAAAGTTACATGTAAGTAGGCAGTTTAGTGAAAATTTCAAATTTGTCTGATATGCTTTGAAATACTTTCATTTGAAAGCTCTTGCCTTCATGATCATAAAACAGTTTAAATTTCGTTGATATCTTTATTAGTTAAAAAGTTATGGCGATTTTTCATGCCTAAAATCCGGCCAATTTCCGGCCACTTTTAACACTGAGTTTTTGTTACCAAAAAATGCAACTTTACAACACAAATGACCATTACTCAACATAAAATGCATATTTTTTAAAGTGTTGTACATCAGTTTGTTGGGAATTTTACACAGAATGCACACAACTACAAAACCCCTCCTTACAAAGTCACAGAAATATTTTTTGGGTACTTCTAGAGGTTCAGGGTGATAAAAAATCCCCCGCAAGGATAACCCGAAATGGACAAAATGGGTTATATCTTTCCTGCTAATAGTCATATTTAGACAAATCATACATCATTCTCTTTGTCTTTTTTCACTGTTCATAATTATTAAAGAGTTAAGTCAATTAAGTAATAATTTCCAATTTTTATGGCCATTCTTAAGATTTCAAAACGTATTTTTAGTGTTTTTCTAACCGTTAAACGGATTCCGTAAAAAAAACAAACAACCTCTAAATGACCGCCATAAGTCAGCTCCCTATCCTTCTTTTACAAAGTATTGTAACATACATTTGTGTGAAGCTATATTTTATGCTTTCAAGTGCATAAAAGAGCTTATAAATTCAAGAAAAATGCTCTTCGGAGACCTAGTTGTAGACCCACTGGAACATTTAATAAACTGTGGAAAGATGAAAAGGAAAAAAATAACAAAGTCATTTTATGATCTTCACACAAGTTGCACTTGCAATTTTTTGGACAAATTATATTTATAGTCTACCTCATTCTATTATTTTTTCAGACATGTTTCTTCACTATTCATTACATTTTGAGTTATTATCAACTAGCAATTTTTATTGATGAGCATATTTTAAAAAAAATATTGAGTCAGACTCATTGGCCATAAATTATATTTTTTTAAATGGCACAATTTGATAATGTAAACGTAAAAATATCCAGAAAATAACAACATTAAATTATTAGATACTGAAAGTGAAAGACTGAGCAGAGGCTCAGATAAACTCTGTTCTCTACTACTATACTACTAACAAGTAAGTTTGTGCAAAACTGATTTAAGAAAAAGGTTGTCTCATAAAAGCAATTGTTATGATGAGATTTATTATTAACTCTGGAATATAGAGCTAGATGCTGAATCTAACATCAATTAGAACTGCAATTCAATTCAAGCTTTATTTCAATTCCAAAGCCCAAAGGCATAAATAGTTAGATATGCTGGCTTTTTGACTGTTTCTAGCCTACTACTGCTGAATTCTAGATTTAGCTATATCATTTGCACTATTCAAGAGCCAAATATGGTAAAATATAAGCAAAACTGTGAATTCTTTTGTCAGTCCGTTCATAATTTCATAGCCGCACATATTATTATTATCTGGAGAAACAAGTAAAACGCGAATAAATGCGATGCCGGCACAATACGTTATCACAGTGTGCAGGGGAAAGCGGGGGCGCCGGGTCGCTGACCGGCCGATTCGGCGTTTTGGCTTTTTGTATGCATTTTTACGGGAAGCGCCGTAGCGTTGTGCGAAGTTCAACCTAAACAACTCGGGTGTCAAAAGAAACTAGAATGGATAATCTAAAACTTCTGAAAGATTCATAAATATACAGCCAGTAGTTTTCATTTTATCGCATTGTAAAAACTGCTTTGTTTTCAGATGCAAATATTTCCAGTTCTACTGAACCGATTTTCACGCGAAGACCGCCATTTTGAAGACCTTTCTTTTCTGTTTAAGAAGATGTATCGGGAGTGGTAGTGCAATTCGCAAAACGAAACAAAACTGTGAGTTGTGTAGACCCACCGCAGCGCGAGGCTTCACGGCCAGTCACAAAAATCTATGGGGCGCACCGCGGCCGATTCGCCCTGCTGCGAGCGCGTTCTCTAAACTGCCTAATGTAAGATATGTATATATACTTTAGTTGGAGGACTTGTGTTTTAATGTGAATTTAGGTGCTTGACTGCTTTCTTTATCAGCGGATGGTCAGAGGGTGCTACTGGTAGATCCTATTTCTTTTCTTGCTCTCTGATTCTGTTAGGTTTTTTTCCCTTCTCCAAATGACTGATATTGTGTTCGTCTCCTTTTTACTCTAACAATTCTTTTTTGGAAGTGATTTTACAACTGTAAAGAACTTCTCTTTAGAAAAAAAAAATCTTGTTGTCTTTGGGAGTAACAGCACACTTATTTCATTTTTCAGAATTAAGATGTTAAGAATAAGTTATGAAAGTTATATTCTAATGCAAGTACTCTTGGTATGATTTAGAATGAAGAACGAAGCAGTTACCTTTGTATGAATTAAGCTTCAGGACTGATCTGTCCAGCTTTTTACTATTTCTCGGACTTTTTTTTGTCTTGTCAGGGGTTGTTTTTTTCGCTGCTCTAATGGGGGTTATGTATATTGATGTGCCTCACTTTAGCTCAAATAGACATATTGACAAACTGTTTTTTATACTAGGCCTAGGGTCTAGTTTCAAGCATTCCTTTCTCTTTCTTTGCTTTGTCATTATAGGACTGTTATTTTTGTTTTCATGTTTACACCTCTGGATTTCTCTCCCTAGGTCCACAAACTGATTCTCCTTGCCATGAGCCCGTACCTGCAGGAAACGTTTAAGAATGCCGATCCTCGCTCCCAGCTGGAGGTGAATCTTCCCTCGGACACAACCTACGAGACGGCGAAAGCTTTCCTCAGATACATCTACGAAGGAGTTTTGGAGGTGAGTGGCAACTGATGTCAGGGCTTGTCAAGTGACCTGACTTTTGTGAGACAGCGGCTCTTCGAGAGCTCCTGTCCCGCCCAAGTCATTGCTGTCCTCATTTTATAAATAAATAAATATAAAATAAATAAATAAATTACGCTTTTATTTGTCCCAGAAGGGCACTTTGTTTTACAATGGCAAACATACATACATAAATACATAATTATAAATACGTACATACATAAATACATACATAAATGCACACTATTACACAAATACAGAACAGTTTACAAACAATGCCACTGTCGGTCGCCACTGTGCAGCGCCCTGTAATTTTATGACTGTTCCAACATTTTGTCCTAGAGGGAGTTTGCTAGTAGTTATTGACCTATGCTTTTCTTTACCGAATTGATTCTGTTGAGAAATGGATATGGGGTGTTTTGGCTCCCACAGATAGTGAAATTTTCTTTATTTTTTTCGGTCGGGGGGAGGGCTCGGCGGCTCAGCTCTGTTCTCACTTCTTGAGCACCCAATTAGATGCTGCCTGGCTGGACCCTTGCCTCTAAGATTAGTGTTTATCTTCTGCACTGAATTTTACCTAAGTCTTGCTCTCTTTTGTGTTGATATGTTAATGAAGGATCTGGGCTAGCAAAGATTAAATTCCCATAAACTTTACAGTTATTATGTGGGGGCCCAGCTTCAAAATAGGGAAAACGTCTTGTAGCCGTTTTATTCAATCTAAATTAAGTCCCCCAAAAAACCTTGTAAAGTTGCCGTAAATCGCTGTTAGGACTTTCTCAGTGAAAGAGCACTAATGGGACATGATCCTGCATTGTTATTATTAGTATTACTGTTTTGATCGGTGGCATCGTCCTAGCATATTGTTATTATTTTTATTAACTTCACGTCTCCCCGGTGCAGGTTGACACGATGTCTGTTCGCTCCTTGTACAAGATCGCCACGATGCTTCAGATGACCAAGCTGGCGCAATACTGCCAGAACTTTGCCCAGTTACTGCAGGAAGAGGCAGAGGAGGCCAACGGAGGTGCCGTCGGGGAAGGCGAGATCCCAAAGATATCTGTGAACCTTGGGGAGCTGACGGAGGTCCAGGTTCAGCGGCAGAGGATTCTGGAAGCTCAGGTATATTCTGGGGATGGGACTGTTGAGGAAGGCACCGGGGGGGGGGGGGGGGGGGGGGATGATTCTAAAGAAGAGCTGGGAAAAAGAAGAGTGGGGAGGGAGAGTGACTTAAGGCAGAAGGTGGATGGAAAGAAAGGAGATATACTGGAGTGCTTAAAGGTTTTGTAAGGAAGTCGCTGACTTTGTGTTTGTGTGTGTGTGTGTGGGGGGGGGTCTAGGGATGAGGAGAAATCTGGGAAAGAGTAAGGACAGAAAGCGAAGGGAAATTAAAGAAAGGGATGGGTTTGAGTAAGGTTGAGTTTTGTTTTTGTTTTCACATGCATAGAAACTTACCTCCAGGAAGTAGGGTTGACGGGACAATATGAAATTATGGCTGCTTGTTAGTAATGTTTTTGAAACACTGCTATGTTGTTTTGCCTGTCTTAATTATTTTAGTGATTCTATGAAAAAGTTTGAATGGCTTGACTTAGTTTTTGGGTGGTTGGCAGGTGCTCTGGTGTGGTTTGCTCCTTCTTTCTTATGGAACATCTATCGTCCTTATCTCTCCTCCTTTTTTGGGCTTGTTACTCTCTTGTAACACCTCTAATCTTCGGCACTTATATGACCTTAATGTTTCTAATCCTTTTTAAAGCTATAGTTTGTCTTTTCCCTAATGATTTTTGTTCCTGAGAATTTGAAAGGCGAAGTTTGGGATGCAGTCGTCCAGATTTGATTTATATTCATCTTTTCAAAATATATTATAATCGTAATCTAATGCATTTGTTAGAAAGGATTTCTTCTTGTGAGATTGGTTTGCGTGTTCTCTCTATGTATTCTGTCTACTTTTTAGTGTAATCTTAGTCCTCATTTGTCAGGGCAAAATATGTATATTATTTTGGGGACTCGCCATTGACTGCTACAGCAGGACACTTTTCATTGTGGATTTATTTATTTTGTTCCTTTCAGGCCTTGCAAAGGTTAGGGGAGACCACCACTATATCGTCAGCAGAACATCAGAGGAACATGAGCCGTTATCAAAACGGAGAGGACCAATCCCAGCACAAGACGGACCTTATGGGCACGGAACACAACCCCTCAGACCCTTCTGGCAGCTCCTCGGCTTTCTTGAGCCCTGAGCTTCTGGCGCATCATCGGGCACTTGTAGCAGTCACGTCAGCAGTGCAGTCATCTTCGGCAACATCGTCATCGTCCCTGTTGCTCTCCTCCTCCCAAGACACGGCCGCCCAGCAGCTGTTCCAGGCTGCCATGGTGCGCAACCAGACCTCATCCCCAACCCCCTCCACGTCTTCGCCGTCGTACTACTCTCACCTGCACCACCAGCCGGCGACGGCCCAGCCAGACTCTGCCGTTCTACTACACCGGTTTACTTCCCCTGACTCAACATTGCCCCCAGCCCCTTCATCATCCTCGTCATCGTCGTCTAGCTTCATCGAGCACCAGCGGCTGGCTGTCGCGGCGTACTGGCAGGCTCAGGCCCACACGTTGGGGGAGATGATGTCGCGGGGCCAGGTGGGTGGACTGGCGCCAGAGACTGCTACGGAGTTGGCGGCCATAGCTGCGGCGGCCGCTGCCACAAACACGGAAGATGGCACTCGGCATCTTCTCAGCTCGCTGGGTTGCCATGATGGTGGTAGTGCTGCCAAGGTGAAGGTGCCGTCTGTGCATCCTGTTGTGAACAGCCGAGCTTCCCATCACCACCATCACCATCACTCGAGAGACCCGTCGCCCTCATGGGGCTCCCAGGTTGCCATGGAAACGGATAGTGGGGCGCATCAGCCCACCATGTTGCCAGAAACGTGTATTCCCGTAGACATGGCAAGGTCACACCATGTCACGAACTCTGAAGGCCACACGTAGCACTTACACACACATATAGACGCACCCATACACTCTCTCAACACATGCTCAGGAACCTTGAGCAAGTACCGTTGTGTATTCTAAGATGGGTCACTCGTACTGTTTTCAAAGTGTTGAACTACAGTGCCACAAGAAAGGGATGTGACTAACGAAGTTGAGGTGTGCGTCTTCTGGAAAAAAAAAGTAGGGGAGCATAACTACATCTCGCTAGCGACTTTTTCCTGATTTCTTGTGGTCAGAGCCGAGCAGCCTGTCTTGGAGTAGGGTGGCTGTTGCCCTCAAAGAACAGACGCACAGACACTTTTTCATGATGTTGAAGTTTTTTTTATTCTCAATAGAACTTTATTTTTTAAATTGCAGATTATATCGTGCTTGTGGCCATCCTGTATTGATCAAAGACTTGATCACTGTTGCAATAGTTGCCAGCAGAGTGTCTTTTGTGTCTAAATTTGTTGGCTTATTCTTTGTTTTATCTTTGTTATTGTAGCTCCAGTGTGGACCGTACCTCAGTAGCATCGCGTTATCTCTGAGTGCTATTTATATTTTGCTTGGTAAGAGCTGGTTGGTAGGCTGCTCTTTCGTTGTGAGTGTTGGGATATACCTAATGGAGTCAGGATTTGCGATGTGGACCAGCATAATACGGGACTAATGTAAGAACTAGGAATGAGTGCTTTGGCAGGGACCGTTTTGTCTTGGCTATGTGTTCACATGTGTCTTAATATTCTTCTAGGATAGGGGGTGTGTCTTGTTTTTTTAAAAATAGTTTTTAAAAGTTTTTTTTTCATTATTTTTTAAGATTTAGTACTTACGGTTTTAGGCCTTACTTGGAAATAACAGCAAGAGTTGCTAATATTGGACGCCTCTGGTGGTTCATGTTTTGTTCACACAATCAAGGCGACTTTCGATTCAGTCTATAGCCAGTTGTAATTCAGTGTCATTTTATTCTTTTCCTGCAGGGAATGTGCGCTACTTCAGGTTTATGGTACAGGGTGGTGATACTCATGAAATTACTGGCTGTGTCTTGAAAGTGAACAGTGCCATGCAAATGAGGCGTCCGGTTTTTGTGACTCTTCTCGCATGTTACTTTTTGTATCGATGATGGGTCTGTGGCTATCATTCCAGTTCTTTGCACACTGTACGTCTTTATGATGAGTGGGAATGTGAGCGCAAGCACTGGTGCTGTCTTCACGTCTTCATGGCGACAGGGATGAGAACAGCTGAATTTTTATTGTGTTTGTATTTTTTTTATTATTGTGTATTCAAGTTGTAGGCCTACTCTGCTTTTTGTTGTTGCTGTCATGTAGGGCAGTTGCTCTCTTAGGAATTTTGTCTTGAGTTTCGAGCTGTGTACAAAGTCTCTGTTTCACCGACGGGAAACAATTATTTCCTTGCAGTCTGACTTGTTGGCTAGACTTCCTTTGTGGTGCAAAGGAATAAGTTAATAATTCTCTGCCATGAATTGTAAAAAATGTACAAAAGATACTGTTGGTTGATTCTTTTTTATTTGCCATGTGGCTGACCAGAAGTGAAATTTATGTGTAGTAAGTGTACCTGTGTTTTGATAAACAGTTAAAACATACAGTGAGCTACGGCTCAATTCACAAAACCGCTGGTTGGCAGGAGGCTGTTGTCAAATGACTTTCCTTGCCATCCGTAGTTAATTTTGTTGTGTTCATAGCGCCATTCAACCGCCATTTCATCATTCTGCTTTGCGTTGTAAATGACGCAGTTGTTTTGAGCCATTTCTGTGTTACGCTAAGAGAAGGTTCAGTTTGTTGTTCTCTTTTACCACTGGTGTTGCTGTATTTTTTAAAAAAAATATATTGGGTGAGCACTATTACTATAATTACTCCCTTTGTCTGTTCTGGGAAAGGAGTACGTGTCACACTTATGCTCTCGGGGTCCTACTCGTTTGTGGTATGTGTCACTCTGTTGGCTCTCCGGATCCTACCATACGTGTGCTGTGTTTACTACTGGCTGCCTGGATCTCACCTATCATATGGTTGACCAAATGTGGCAAAGGGTAAGTCTCCCATTGTACTGCCTTGGAAACGTAGCACACATGGAAGTTTTCACGTCTTGGTTTATTTTTTTGTTTCTTTGAAGAAGAATGATAGCAGATTATTTTTTTTTTCTCTCCTTTCCGAGTCCAACTGAATCAATGTCTTAGACCCTTTTCAGCGACTGCCATCTTTAGCTGTTCTGCAATGGAGCAAGCACCAGCCAGTTAATCTCTTGATTCAGACTAATCTTAAGAGTTTTGTTCTTGTAATCTTTTCTATGATAGGTCCAAGCAATGTGAGCAGAGAGCTGTGAAACATAACAGCTGTCGCTCTGAAAAGGCGCTATTTGGGTTTGAACTAAGGAAACCTGTGCCCTTGCTAATGGCTCTCCTTCCCTGGTAATCAGTTAACTGTCTCTTATTATACAAAGAAAATGAGTACTGATCCATTTATCAATGTTTTCAATATATGCGGATTGATGATTTTCTCACGCTGTCAGGCCATGTTACGGTTAGGCTTCTTGCATTGCTTAACACTTTCCACCCACGGAGCAGGATACAGATGCTGTACATGCTATATCACACCGTCGCCTATTGGTGTCCCGTGGGGAAAAGTGATGGCTTCGTACAGTCGTCGATCCATGTCCCTTGGGGCGTGGGGGTAAAGTGTTATGGCAGAAATGAGTTGAGTTCCCAGTAAGGGAAGTTCGTTTTATTCCAGGGTTGAGGCATCCTGCCTCCTAAATGATCTAAATTGTGTCAGTTGCAGAGTAAAACCTCCACAGTTTTTACATCTTGCCTAATGAATGGTCTATTCTCTGCCACTAGCTTTGACTTGACAGCAGGATTTTTTCCACTCCACTGCCATTTGTGACGAAAACGAAACTGAAGAGTTTTCTAGATTTGTACTGTTCATTTTATCTTTTAAGATTTCCTTTTCATGATGTTGCTTTTGTTGTTTACAGCTACAAAAGTGCTCAAATGTGTATTTGCTTACGAGCAAAGGTGATAATGACTTAAAGTGGTGTGTCTTGTTTTCTTTTAGGGTGCTTCCCAAAGTTTTGTTACCTGTGTGGTAGGGTTGGGTCGGGCTCGCAAAATTAGCGTCCGCGAGTAACGAACTACCTGCTGGCATTGCCCGCAAACGAGCGGACGGGTAACGAACGGTCTGTTTGTGAAGAGTAGTTCGCTACTCGCTATACATCGGACAGAGACAACAGTTCGTTTAGCGAGCGAGCGGACGTGCGGACCGAGAGACTCCATGCATTCGAG